GGAATAGTTTGAGAAGGATAGGTATCAAATGTTCTTTGAATGTTTGGTAAGATTGTCCAGAGAAGCCATCTGGTCCTGGACTTTTACTTTTTGGGAGGGTTTTGATTACTATTTCAATCTCTTTACTTGTGATTGGTCTATTCAGATTCTCTATTTCTTCTTGATTCAGTTTTGGGAGGTTGTATGAGTCTAAGAATTTATCCATATTTTCTAGATTGTCCAATTTGTTAGCATATAGTTTTTCATAGTATTCTCTTATAATCCTTTGTATTTCTGTGGTGTCTGTTGTGATTTCTCCTCTTTCATTTCTCATTTTATTTATTTGAGCCTTCTCTATTTTTTTCTTAGTGAGTCAGGCTAAGGGTTTGTCAATTTTGTTTATCTTCTCAAAGAACAAGCTCTTTGTTTCCTGGATCCTTTCTACTGTTTCTTTTTTTGTTTCAATTTCATTTATTTCTGCTCTGATTTTTATTATTTCCCTCCTTTTGTTGACTTTGGGCTTTAGTTTTTCTTTTTCTAATTCTGTTAGGCGTAGTTTGAGGTTGCTTATTTGGGATTTTTCTTGTTTGTTAAAGTGGTCCTGTATTGCTGTGAGTTTCCCTCTCAGGACCTCTTTTGCTGCATCCCATGTGAGTTGGTATGGTGTGTTTTCATTTTCATTTGCCTTCAGATATTTTTTGATTTTTCCTTTAATTTCTTCAATGATCCATTGGTTGTTCAGTAGCATGTTGTTTAGTCTCCAGATATTTGGCACTTTCCTAGTTTTTTCTTGCAGTTGATTTCCAGTTTCATAGCATTATGGTCAGACAAGATGCTTGTTATGATTTCAATCTTCTTAAATTTATGGAGGCTTGCCTTGTTTCCCAACATATGGTCTATCCTTGAGAATGTTCCATGCGTGCTTGAGAAGAATGTGTAATCTGCTGTGTTTGGATGGAATGCTCTATATATAACTATTAAGTCCATCTTGTCTAGTTTTTGATTTAAGTCCATTATTTCCTTATTGACTTTCTGTCTGAATGAGCTATCCGTTGATGTAAGTGGGGTGTTAAGACTCCCTACTATTATTGTGTTGTTGTTAATGTCTCCTTTTAGGTTTGCTAATAGTTGCGTTATGTACATTGGTGCTCCTGTGTTGGGTGCATATATATTTATAGGTGATATGTCTTCTTGGTGGAGTGTCTCTTTTATCATTGTATATTGCCCCTCTTTGTCTCTCATTACCTGTTTTATCTTGAAGTCTTCTTTGTCTAAGTATGGCAACACTTGCTTTCTTTTGTTTGCCATCAGCTTGGAGTATCGTCTTCCATCCTTTCACTCTGAGACTGTGTTTGTCTTTAGGGCTGAGATGTGTTTCCTGGAAGCAGCATATTGTTTTTTTTTTTAATATTTTTTTATTTATTTTTTCCCCCAAAGCCCCAGTAGATAGTTGTATGTCATAGTCGCACATCCTTCCAGTTGCTGTATGTGGGACGCGGCCTCAGCATGGCCGGAGAAGTGGTGCATCGGTGTGCGCCCGGGATCTGAACCCGGGCCGCCAGCAGCAGAGCACACGCACTTAACCGCTAAGCCACGGGGCCAGCCCAGCATATTGTTTTTTAATCTATCCAGCCACTCTGTGTCTTTTGATTGGAGCATTGAATCCACTTACATTTAGAGTTATTATTGATATATGAGGGCTTAATATTGCTATTTTATCACTCATTTTCCAGTTCTTTTGCATTTGCTTTGTTTCTCGTCCCATGTGTTTCGGACTACCAATTCAGTTTGGTAGTTCTGCATGATGGTTTTCTTAGCTTTCTCTTTATTTATTGTATGTGTCTCTGTTCTGTTTATTTGTTTAGTGGTTACCATGAGGTTTGTATAAAAAATCTCGTAGATGAGATAGTCCATTTTCTGATGACCTCTTATTTCTTTAGACTAAGTCTATTTGATCCCTTTCCTCTTCCCCTTCTAAGTTATTATTGTCACAATTTATTCCATCTTATGTTGTGAATTTGTGTTTAAAGTGATGAGGTTATAATCACTTTTGGTGTTTTCCTTCCCTTAATCTTTAATGTTATAATTAAGTGTTTGCTAACCTATTTGGATAGAGAGCTGCAAATTTTCTGATTTTGTTTACATATTTTTCTCCTTGCTTGAAGGTTTGTATCCCCTTTCTCTTTTTTTTTTTTT